CATTTTAACACCTTCACCCACGGACTATGTTCTACCTATCCACGAGTATCTTAAAACTCACGGTATTGTGGTCACTCCTCCCAAAATGCTCTCCCACTGAAACTTCACTCTGTTTTCTCCTTCACAGATGCTGCCAGACCTGCTGAGCTTTTCCAGCAACTTCTGTTTTTGTTCCAGTATAACCCCTTCCCTGGTTGGACTGATTACGTACTGTATCAATAATCCCTCCTGAATGGTCCTTCCAATTTCTGCCCCATCCAAGCCCCAAGTACGTACTGAGTCCCAGTCAATACAGGGGAAGTTAAAACCACCCATCACAACAACCCTGCTGTTTTTACATCTTTCCAAAATCTGCCTATACATTCTCTCCTCTATCTCCCGCTGGCTGTTGGGAGGCCTGTAGTATATCCTCAGCTGATTTTATCTTTCCTATTCCTGAGTTCTACCCATATTGCCTCATTGTGCAAGTCCTCTGATGTATGCTTCCCCAGTACAGCTGTGCAATTCCCCTACCCCTTTACCTCACTTTCTATCACACCTGAAGCATCAAAAACTTGGGACATTCAGCTTTCAGTCCTGTCCCTCTTAAAGCCAAGTCTCCACAATCAGAATTATCTCCAATAGCACAGGATTTCCTCAGACAGTACCTTCCAAACCCATAACCCCTTCCGTCTAGCAAAACAAGGGCAGCAGATACCTGGGAACACCACCCCCTGCAAGTTCCCCTCCAAGCCACTCACCACCCTGACTTGGGAAATATATCACTGTTCCTTCACTGTGGTTGGTTCAAAATCCTGGAATTCCCTCCTTAAGGGCATTGTGGGTCTACTTACAGTGCATGGACTGCAGCGGTTCAAGAAGGCAGCTCATCACCACCTTCTCAAGGGTAACTAGGAATGGACAATAAACACTGGCCCAGCCAATGATGCCCACATTCCATGAGTAAGCAAAAGAAATTCTGGGAATGCCGAGGAAGAAATCACAGTCAATCTACCTGATTTAAAATTTAAACAAAACTTGGCAGCTAAATGTCAGTTATCATTAACTGATACATTCTTTATAGCAATGCCTCCAACAATCAGAGTCCCCTTTCCAATCAAACAACATTTTTTCTCATGCAGTATAAGTGTCATTTTCCTTTTGAAGTGGTATTCTTGTGGAACATCCTGATGAGTGCAAAATAAAAAGTTTTTGACAAAATGTAGCTTTTTTCAGCAAAACTCAAGTTTTGTGTGACCAAACAACTATTGGTACTCCAAGAGATGTCATTCAGCATTTTACAATGATCTGAGAGCAGACTACTTTTTAATCATTCTGGTTTTCATCACAGGACATTGCATTTCAACTGAATGAACATATCGGCATCAGTCAGAGCACGGAAGTTGCCAATAATATCAATAGTGAGGGATTAAAGACTTTATCAACCACAATAAATCCTCAGCCAATCAATGACTATTGGTCCACAAAGGCTGAGACACATAAGTCAACATCACTTAAACTGCTTTGGAATTCCATTGAAGGTGCTGCAAAGAATAAAAATGAAATTTGTGGCTTCATGCATCAACGTTTGTGAACAACACAGAGTAGGGGCAGAGTGAAGAGATGGTCTTTGTATTTGCCACCTCCTGATGGATTGACTGGGCCTTTCCTTTTTGTGACTCAGCATTAACTTCAGTCACAGGAAGCATGTTTTAATGACATCTTCTGTTCCTGTGTATAGTGGAGAAAACATTGCAGGACAGCTTTGATCAAGGCCACTGTTCCCCTTTTACATAAATAAAAAAAAACGAAAGAACTGCGGATGCTGTAAATCAGGAACAAAAACAGAAGTTGCTGGAAAAGCTCAGCAGATCTGGCAGCATCAGTGAAGGAAAAAATCAGAGTTAATGTTTCGGGTCCGGTGACCCTTCCTCAGAACCTTCCTCAGGAAGGGTCACCAGACCCAAAATGTTAACTTTGTTTTTTCCTTCACAGATGCTGCCAGACCTGCTGAGCTTTTCCAGCGACTGTGTTTTATGCCCCTTTTATATTCCTGATCCACAGGTTCTTGATGGGTAAGGGGATTAGAGTTAGGGGCAGAAGGCCCGAGAATGGGGTTGAGAAACATACCAGCCATGATTGAACGGAGGGGCAAATGTGATGGGCCGAGTGACCTAATTCTGCTCCAATGGCCTATAGTCTTATGGTCACTGATTTAGTTACACAACGACTTGCTTGTTAGTCCTATTCACAATAAAATTTTGGAGTAGTCAACCTATTAGTAATGCAACGGAACTGGCCAGGCACAGGAACACAGGAGCAGGAATGGGCCATTCAGCCTGCTCTGCCATTCAATAAGACGACGGGCTACATGCTGGTCCTTCCCCAGGAGGGCTCGCTCTCCCCTGTTCTGGCCAAGCTTTCACCTGTGCTGGGCAAATCTCACTGGGATTTGTCAGTTGCTATGCAGCTGACTGCCACTGGGGCCCCAGCCGCTGCCATTCTGTCACCCGCACACCCCACACCCAACCCCCCGCTGCCTCCACGAGTGAGCTCTCTTCAGAAGGTAAGTTAAAAAAAACTAAAAAACAGAGAAAATAAGCAAGAAAAGGAAATAAAAATGAAAAGCGGACAGAATGGATCATACCCTTACTCAAGAGCCTACTCCACTACCGCCATCTTGTTTATCCCACTGTCCAAAATGAAAAAGACTTTCGCCTCCTCTGGCTCAGTCCGCCAGGGGTTACAGGAAACAGGGAAAAAAAGTGGAGTTAAGACCAGAGTCACAGAAAAAAAACAGGTGCAGGAATAGACCATTCAGCCCTTCAAGCCTGCTCTGCCATTCAATATGATCATGGCTGATCATCCAAGTCCTGCTCTCTCCTCATCCCTTTGGCCCTAAGAACTATATCTAACTCCTTCTTGGAAACTTTCAATGTTTGGCCTGAACTACTTTTCTGTGGCAGAGAATTCCCACATATCTTCAGACTGTGACCCCTAGTTCTGGACTCCCTGGTCATCGGCACCATCCTTCATTCCTTCACCATGTTTAGTCCCTGTTAGAATTGTTTAGGTGTCTACAAGCACTCCACAAGGTTCCTCAGGATAGACAGGTTAGCAAGGTTAGATCACATGGAATACAGGGAGAACTAGCCATTTGGATACTGAACTGGCTCAAAGGTAGAAGACAGAGGGTGGTGGTGAAAGGTTGTTTTTCAGACTGGAGACCTGTGACCAGCGGTGTGCTACAAGAATTGGTGCTGGGTCCACAGCTTTTTGTCATTTATATAAATTATTTGGATGTGGACCTAGGAGGTGTGGTTAGTAAGTTTGCAGATGACAAAACTGGAGGTGTAATGGACAGCGAAGAAGGTTACCTCAGAGTACAACGGGATCTTGATCTGATGAGCCAATGGGCCAAGGAGTGGCAGGTGGAGTTTAGATAGATGTGAGGTGCTGCATTTTGGAAAGGCAATAACTTATACACTTAATCGTAAGGTCCTGGGGAGTGTTGCTGAACCAAGAGACCTTGGAGTGCAGGTTCATAGTTCCTTGAAAGTGGAGTTGCAGATAAACAGGATAGTGAAGAAGGTGTTGGGTATGCTTATCTTTATTGGTCAGCGCATTGAGAATAGGAGTTGGAAGGTCATGTTACAGGTGTACAGGACATTGGTTAGGCCACTTTTGGAATACTGCATGCAATTCTGGTCTCCCTCCTATAGGAAAGATGTTGTGAAACTTGAAAGGGTTCAGAAAAGATTTACAAGGATGTTGCCAGGGTTGGAGGTATTCAGTTATTGGGAGAGGCTGAATAGGCTGGGACTATTTTCTCTGGAGCGTTGGAGGCTGAGGGGTGACCTTGTAGAGGTTTATAAAATCATTAAGGGCATGGATAGGGTAAATAGACAAGGTCTTTTCCTTGGAGTGGGGGAGTCCAAAACTAGAGGGCATAGATTTCAGGTGAGAGGGAAAGATTTAAAATGGACCTAAGGAGGCAACTTTTTCATGCAGAGGGTGGTGCATATATGGAACGACCTGCCAGAGGAAGTGGTGGAGACTGGTACAATAACAACATTTAAAAGGTGTCTGGATGAGTATACGAATAGGAAGAGTTTAGAGGGGTATGGGCCAAATGCTAGCAAATGGGACTAGATTATTTCAGGATATCTGGTCGGCATGGCCGAACAGCTGCATTTGGAAAGGCAAATCAGGGCAGGGAGGTGATGGCCTAGTGGTATTATTGATAGTGGTATTATTATCCAGAGACTCAGATATATTCTGGGGACCCAGGTTCAAATCCTACCATGGCGGCTGGTGGAATTTGAATTCAATAAAATATCTGGAATTAAGAATTTAACGATGACTGTGAATTGATTGTCAAGAAAAAAGGAAATCTGATTCACTAATGTCCTTTAGAGAAGGAAACTGCTATCCTTACCTGGTCTGGCCTACATGTGACTCCAATTCCACAGCAATGTGGTTGACTCCTAATTGCCCTCTGGGCAATTAGGGATGGGCAATAAATGCTGCCTAGCCAGCGACGCGCCTCATCCTGTGAATGAATAAAGGAAAAAAAGTTGGACTGAAGGGTCTGTTTCCATGCTGTACAACTCTATGACTCAAAGATGCCCCCACTCCTTCATCTGTTTAGTCATGATCTTATCCAAAGGTGGAGTAGGCTTGATGGTCTCAATGGCCCACTCTGCTCCTAACTGGTGTGCACACACGGTATATTTGCCCCTCAGTATTTTGGGACTCCACCCCCTCATACTGTGTCAGCCTGCTGGCAATCCCCAGGGACCGACAGGGTTGGATTAAAATTTACAGGATTCTGGTGTCATTGGCTGTGTCCGCCCTCGCCAAAGGTCTGTCACCAGAATTGGCAACATGTTGAAATCTCCTGCCTCACCCAAGAAACCTCAGTCGCTATTCCCAGACTTGTTTGACATGTTCCCTTCCTCGAAGTGTCGAAACTTGCCCTAACATGCGGAGAGAAGTGACACTAACTTCCGAACAATGAGGGATGGGATGGACTCAATGTTCCCACCCAAACACAGTTCCATCTCCTTTACCTTTCTTGGTCAAGCCCACAGCAGTTACTCAAAGTGGAACGAAGTGTGTCGCCGGGTCAACCACTCTCTCTCACTGCTCCTCTGTCTGCAAAGGATTTTAAACTAAACTTATCCCTTTAACTCCTGAGCTAAGGGCACAGAGCCAGAACTGCAATTCGAGCTGTTTTTTTCCAAGAACCAGCAACAACAAAAAAAAACCCTCCACAAGATAACAAGGGGGTGGCGAACGGAACTGCATGGCCATGGCTCACTGTGGGTGAGACTGCGAGGGGAGAGCTGCAATTTTCCAAGCAGGCTGCTGGAGGAGGTGAGTCAATACCGTGTGTACCCAGATCTTGCTCCTACCCCCGGTCTGACGCCGCTTCTTCACTTTACAGGTGCCTTTGAGATTTCCCAACTGAGTCTACAACCCCATCAGATTATCCCTCCTGGCCCATTGTGTCCGAAAATCGGCTGAAGTTCTTTTTTTATCCCCGACACCTCAATTAAAAAAAAAACTTCATGGTCATGCTTTGGAAAGACTGTGAGAGGTGTTATTTTACGTTAAATCGTGATTTGTTTTTCGATGATTTCCCAGAGTTTAATGCATTTAAGACAACGCCACTTTTCTAAAAGGAATTTCGCAAAGTAAAAACATTCCATTTGATAAATATGAACCAGGCTGACTGTGTTAAAGGTGACAGTGACTGAAAACTTTATTCTCAGCCTGATGTTTCATGTTGTAAATACTGCGTTTCAATTGGAATATTCTTCAACTTGGAGAAACACTGGGTACAGCCAATGATTTGTGAAAGGAGGAATGTGTTTGCATTGATATAGCACCTCTCACAATCTTTCCACACCATGAAAGGCATGGCCAGTGAATTTTTTTTATTAAGGTGTTGAAATGTTGGGAAGAGCTTCAGCCGATTTTCATACACAATGTTCCACCAAACAGCAAGGAGATAAAGGAACAGATAATCCTGATGTTGGATAGTGATAAATTTTATCCAGTATCTAAGCTCTTGGGCACACTTGGAGCATGTACTTAATTGCAACAAAAGCAGAATTTGCTGAAGAACTTCTGGCAGCGACTGTGGAGAGAGAAAAACAGAGTTAATGTTTGGAGTCCAGTGATCCTTCTTCAGATATTTTCTAATCACCCTGTTCAGGGATGTAATGACTCACCTCTGGAGCAGGTGGGACTTGAATCCAAGCCTTCTGGCTCAGAGATTGGGAAAACAAACCTTCTGTGTGTACTTAATAAGATAAAATGCTTAGCTGAGTCAATCCACACTGTCTTCATTGAGTCCATCAAAGCCTTTCTCAAAGCCCCTCACTTTGTGGTATCTCCAATTAAATGCCATTGATTCATTCCCCATGTCACTTCAGTAAAAGGCCTTGGGAATGCTATCAAATACACAATTTGTATTTAAAGATGCTTGATCTATATGAGAAATTTTCACGACTCTTTCTTTTTAAAGTTGCTAACTCACACTTTTCAAAATGTTTGATTTGTTTTTACTTCTTCAACATCGGTAGCTTCTTTTTCTTTTGACCAAAACTCTGTTAAAATCCACATTAATCCTTGCTACATTCCCAGATCAAACAGGAACTATCCCAATGAGATCGGTTTTCTTCACTGTCCTCTCAATCAGGAATGAAGTTGTCTCTTTCAGTAGGTAGAATAGAATAGAATCCCTACGTCATGGAAACAGGCCATTCGGCCCAACAAACCCAGACTGACCGTCTGAAGAGTATCCCACCCTGACCCATCCCCCTACCCTTTCCCTTTAACCCTGCATTTCCCATGGCTGACACACCTAATCTACACACCCCTGAACACTATGGGGTAATTTAGCATGGCCAATCCACCCTAACCTGCACATCCCTGAACACTACGGGACAATTTAGCACAGCCAATCCACCCTAACCTGCACATCTTTCAGTTGATGGATGTTCCGTGGACTGGGAGGCTTCTTTTTGGCATTTGATTGTTTTTCTGGTTGCGTTAGCTGGCAAGTTCTTAATGTGCTAGCCCACACAGAGAGATCACACATTGGTTTCCATCGATTTCTCGTCAACTGTCTGTCACGGCCAGACTATATCACATTGTAACCCAATGGCCCAGGTCTTCTCTGCTTCATGGGCTTTCTGAAAGATTGTGACCACATTGGTCCATTTGCTGTGATGCCATTGTGCACTGTAAGATGGGAAAAGCCCTGAGCGATGCTGACCTTCCCATTTACAAAGCCTCGCAAAACCGACCACGAAATGGTTTAGAATTGCCTCTGCTATTTCTGGGAAAGAGCAGGCAATGTTTGTGCAGCTGGCATTGACCAGTATCCAGGCTGGCAGACCTGTGGGATGCACAAAGGGCCAAATGGTCTCCTCCTGCTCCTGTGTTTCATGTTTCTCTACGTATGCAACATAAAGAAGCAACATCTTATTACTGGCCCAACAACAAAGTCCTCTAATCTTGACTTCAATCTTTGATAGGAATGTACAGCACAGAAACAGGACACTTGGCCCAACCAGATTTCTGAAGAAGGGTACCGATCCGAAATGTCAGTTTTCCTACTCCTCTGATGCTGCCTGGCCTGTTGTGTTCCTCCTGCTCCTCACTGTGTTATCTCTGACTCCAGCATCTGCAGTTCGTACTATCCCCAACCAGACTATGCTGTTGTTTATGCTCCACTCAAGCCTCCTCCCATCCTCTCTTGTCTAAACCTACAGCCATTACCCAGTGTTCCCTTATCTCTCAAATGTGTGTCTAACTTCCCCTTAAACACATCAATGCCATTCACTTAAACTGTTCTCTGTGGTGGCAAATTGCACACTCTCACCACAATTTAGGTAAATGTCTTATGTCTGAATCCTGGTTTGGTTGTGTAAGAAGTTGAGGGGTGACCTTGTAGAGGTTTATAAATTCATGAGGGACATAGATAAGGTGAATGGCAAGTGTCTTTTCCCTAGGGTGAGGGATTTCAAGACCAGGGGCATATTTTTAAGGTGAGAGAAGAAAGATTTGAAAAATATGAGGGGCAACTTTTTTTACACAGAGAGTGGTTCGCCTATGGAATGAAATTCCAGAGAAAGTGGTGGATGTGGGTACAATTACAACATTTAAAAGGCATTTGGATAACTTTGCGGATAAGAAATGTTTGGAGGGATATGGGCCAAGCACAGGCAGGTGGGACCAGTTTAGTTTGGGATTATGGTCGGCATGGACCGGTTGGACCAAAGGATCTGTCTCCATGCTTTATGACTCTATGACTCAATGACTATCTTATTGACGATCTCCCCTTAAGTTCTTTCTGACAAGTAGTCTATAAAAATGTTCACAATTGTAAAAACCTGCATAGGATCACCGTTTATCCTTTCTTCTTCAAAAGCAAAGAGCCCCAGCCTGTCAATCTTTTCCTGGTATTTACACCCCACACATTTCTGGAATTGTCTGTGTTAATCCACTCTGCATCATCTTCAGTGACTCTATATCCTTAATACAATTTTGTCCTTGAGAATCTGTGTGGTTCATACAAGTTCCAATACAGATTTAGCACAACTTTCCTGCTTTTCAATTCTGTTTCTCTAGAAATAAAGGCAAATTCCTTTTTTTTGTGACCTTCCTATGATGCATCTATTAGGCCTTGGTATATTTGGAGCCTGATTCCCTTTTGTTCATTTTCCAACCAGATTTGCATCTTCCAAATAGCTAGTGACCTTGTTTCTACCAAAATGCATTCCACAACACCATAAGACCTAGGAGTAGGCCATTCAGCCCATCATGTCTGCTCAGTCATTCAATGAATTCATTGCTGATCTGATAATTCCCATTTCCACTTTCTATCTTACTCACCTCATCCTTAATTCCCTTACTAATCAAAAACTTGTCTCTCTCAGACTTAAGTATGCTCAATGAACCAGCTTCGACAGCCCATTGCAATAAAATATTCCATTAATTCACTTCGCTCTAACTGAAGTAATTCCTTATTCTGGGTGACCCCTTTTTCATCATCACAGAAAGGCAAACAACCTTTCTGCATCTCCCCTGTCAAATCCCCTAAGAATCCTGTATGTTTCAGTAAGGTTGTCCCTCATTCTTCTATATTCCAATAAGAAATGGTCTAAACTACTCAACTTCTCCTCACAGAACACTCCATCCCTACCTCTGATCAGCCTAGCAAACTTTCTCTGTCTGCCTCCAATGTCAGTATATCTTTCCTTAGATAAGGGACCTGAAACTGTTCACATTATTCCAGCTGTGGTCAGATCAGTGCCTGGTACAGTTTTAGCAAACATCCCCTTTGAAATAAAGGCCAACGTTCTTTTTGCCTTCCCTACTACTCATTGAACATGGCTGCTAGCTTTTTGTGCTTCCTTGAAGGGGATTCCATCTTTGCTGCCGCTTCCTGCATGCAAATGATATTCAGGTCCTCTATTCTTTCTGCTTAACCTCATATTTTCCCACAGGCTATTCTATCTGCCAAGTTTTAACCTACTCGCTTAACCTGTCTGTATCCCCATGCATCTTCTTTGTGTCATCCTCACCATTTGCCTTCCCACCTATTTCTGTGTCATCTGCAAACTTGGCAATAATGCATTCAATTTCCTCATTCAAGTCATTAATATACATTGTAAATAATTGTGGCCCCAGCACTGATCCCTGTGGCTCTCCACTAGTTATAGTTTGCCATCCTGAAAATGCTCCCATTGTTCCAATCCTCTGTTTTTAACCTTTTCAGTTTTTTCTGCACACCCCATACTTGACATTTTTAAATATACTGACGTTGTCTTTCATCTCATCATTCAGTGTCATATCCGCCCTCCTCTGCCTCTCAGGTACATAAGAAAGTGAAATAATCTACTAATGTTTCTGCCACCTCTCTGCTTTAATGTCTCCCAAAGGCAGTAGTCAGTGCTCCATGGGTTGAAGATGAGAAATGACCTGAAGTCTAATGCATTCCAGGCCTTGGAATGCAACATATTCAACTGCCCTGTTATGGGAAGTTATTTCATTTTTCAACTCTCCAGCTTTGTGGTATCAATTTTCCTCTGTTGGACTGTTGTTTAATTAATCAGATTGGAAGATATGCAGAGACCCCTGGTTTAAGAAAAATGTGTTTAGCAGACCTGCATGTTTACAATGAGTTAACTCATCAATGAGAATATTATGGATCTTAGTGACATTTAATGTCTATGATAACTTGATGCTTAAAAAAGAAATTGTGACAACAGTTCATTTTTATCCTAAGTTCCCATGGTATAGGAAGTTTGTTTCAGCTGGGTGTAGACATGGCTGCTGAATGGTCTTCTACAACTTATAAA